TTTCTTCACCATAAGGGTTCCTCAGAGCCAACAGGAATCTGGCAAACGGTTCTCAGTGAGGAATTAGGGACTTGCTCAGTATTCCTTCCTGGTTGGCTCTTCTTTTTGTTTTTAATATATTTTTTATTTTTTTTTAATCCTCACCGGAGGACATTTTTCCATTTTTTGTTCAGATAGAGTGGGGAGGAAGAGAGAGAGAAAGAAACGTCGACGTGAAAGGGACACATCGAGGGTTGCCACCCACATGACCCAACCAGGGCCGGGACAAACCGCAAACGAGGTATATGCCCTTAGCGGGAACCGAACCCAGGTCTCTCTGGACCGCAGGCTGACACTCTACCACTTAGCCATACTGGCCAGGGCTGTTTTTAATGTATTTTAATTGTTTTTTAGAGAGAGAGAGAAAGAGAGGGAAACATCGATGCGAGAGGGAAACACTGATCGGCTGTCTCCTGTATAACACCTACTAGGGATCAAGCCTGCAACCCAGGCATGTGCCCTGAGCAGGAATGGAACCAGGACCTCTCAATCCATTGGATGACGCTCAATCCACTGAGCCACACCAACTGGGCTGGCTCTTCTTTTTGTAATGAGGGTCAGATAGTGAAATTATGAGTACTGATGGCAAAGGAAGATGTGTCTTCCTAGTACCAAACTGAGAATCTTTTTGGTTGCTTTATGGCAAAGAAGAGGATTACAGAAATAACTCAAGTTCATCTCGACCTCGAATTCTTTTGAAAAAACTTTTTTTTCTTTTCTTTATTGATTTTTAGAGAGAGAAGAAGGGAGAGGGTAAGAGAGATGGAAACATCAATGAGAACATCGATTGGCTACCTCCTGCATGGGGATTTGGCCCACAACCTAGGCATGTGTCCTGACTGGGAATGAAACTGGTGACCTCTTGATGCATGGGTCAGTGCTCAACCACCGAGCCACAACGGGCCGGACTGGACCTCGAATTTTTAGATTTGAAAGCTGTCCAGTCTGGGTGAGGATTTTGTTGGAAAGTATCCTGGCTGGGATTTAGCAGCTCCATCGTTCCTTTCACCCTTACCTTTCTGAGGATCAGTGCCAATAAGCACAAGTGGTCAGGAGCACAGACTCTTGAGCCAGGCCATCTGGGTTCAAATCCTACCAGGACAACCTGTGTGCACCCTTTGGCAAGTTACTTCAATTCTGTGGGCCTCAGTGTTCCGGCCTCTTTTTTTTTTTTTTTTTTTTTTTGATACGTGCCCCTAGTGGGAACTGAACCCAGGACTCTCTGGTCCACAGGCCGATGCTCCAACTGCTGACCCAAACTGGCCAGGGCATCCTCGCCTCTTTAACAAGCACAAAAACAGCACTTAATGAGTTAATGTTTGTAAAATTCTTTCTTTTAATGTATTTTTCTTTATTGATTTTAGAGAGAGAGGAAGGGAGAGGAAGAGAGAGAGATACAAAGATGAGAGAGAACATCGATTGGCTGCCTCCTGCATGACCCCCACTGGGGATTTGGCTCACAACCTGGGCATGTGCCCTGATGGGCAATTGAACCAGCAATCTCTAGGTGCATGGGTCGACACTCAACCACTGAGCCCCACCAACTGGGCATTTGTAACATTCTTAAAACAGTACCTGACACATAGTAAGCACTATAAGTTTCATGTTTATATAAGTTTATTTTGTAACATTACAAAATAATAACCAAATTCATTGAGCAATGCTGTGTGTCAAGCACTGTTCTAAGCATTTTTATATGTGTTAACTCTTTAATTTGTAGAGTCTATTAAGTATTACTATCCCCATTTTACCAATGAAAGGACAGAGGCACAGAATGGTTAAGACACCTGCATCGAGTAACAGAGCCAATAAAAGGTGGTGCTGGGTGCTGGGCCCTGGGCCGGCTAGCTCAGTTGGTTGGAACGTCATCCTGTACACCAAAAGTTGTGGGTTTGAGTCTCAATCAGGGCACATACCTAGGTTGTGGGTTTGATCCCCTGTTGGGGCTCATATGGGAGGCAACCAATCGGTTTCTCACATCCCCCCCCTAAAATCGATAAACACACACACACACACAGCCCTGGCCGGTTTGGCTCGGCAGTTAGAGCGTCGGCCTGCGGTCCAGAGACTCGGGTTCAATTCCCGCTAAGGGCATGTACCCTGGTTGCAGTTTGTCCCTGGTCCTGGTTGGGTCGTGCTGGAGGCAGCCACTCGATGTGTCCCTTTCACATTAGTGTTTCTTTCTCTCTCCCTCCCACTGTATCTGAACAAAAAATGGAAAAGTCTCCTCAGGTGAGGATAAAAAAATAATAAAATCAATAAACATATACTTGGGTAAGGATAAAAAAAAAGGTGGTGCTGGGAACAGCTCAGGCAGAATAGCTCCAGAACCCTCTATCTCAATCCCTGCCTTCTAGTCTTCCTTTCCTGTAGGAAAACAGGCGAACTCTGTTCCGCAGGTGGGAAAACAGATGCTCGAAGAGGTCAAGGCTCTTGCCCAAGGCTTCGCAGCAAAACAGAAGCCTGAACCCATTCTTTCTAGTGGACAGCTCTGGGGCTAAGGGTGGGCCCACAGCACCTGGATGGGATGAGCTGAGCTGGCTAAACCGGCCCTGCTGACTGTGGGAAGCAGACAGCTGGGGTCAGTGCCCAATGCTGGGGACAAGGCCCCACTCTGTCCAGCCCCCTCCCCCACAACACCCACTGTGTACCTGGGTCCCACAGATGAAGCGAACAGAGCTAAGGCCAGCTCCAAACTCCTCCAGGGCCTGCAGACCTGCCTGGATTACCTCGGGGTGGCTGCTCAGGCCCAGATAGTTGTTGGCACAGAAGTTAAGGATTCCTGAGGGGGGGTGGGGGTGACAAACACAGCAGCTCAAGGCCCTAAGGAAAGGCCTGGAAAGGTGTCAGTGCCAGCCTCCAGGGATCCAGACAGCACATAAATCCAGATTCACCCTTGAGAAGAAAACAACCACACAGTATGATCCATTCTGGAGCAGAGGCCAGGATGGGGAGCTGAGGGCCCCTAGGAGGTACTGAATCCACCAGCTACAGGAGAGAAAGCATCAGGAAAGGGCTCTTAGAGTGGCACCTTGAAGGATGAGAAAATTAAATTCTGGCTCTGAATCACACCAACGAGGAACTCAGCCCTGCCTCACAGGCTTCTCCTGTCCCCGAGGACCACCAGCAACCTGTCATCTGGGCCTTGGTTACCTCATGGGTAAATGAAGAGGATTGGGTCTGATGTTCACTACAGTTCTCAAATTCCACAGTTGACTTTGCTGTCTGATGTAGAATCACAGGCCCAAAAGGGGGTCCCTCTGAGACCTAGACCTTGAATTATAAAGCCCAGGGTGAACACAGCTGACCCAAGGAGAAAATGGAGGCCTGAGGAAGATTCACTCAGCCTAGGACAGGTAAAAACAGGATGAGCACCTGGGGTCTCCTAATTTCCCATCTGTTGACCTGCTCCCAACTTCCCCTGGGGGAAGGTAGGGATTTCCTGGGACCTCCATGTTTACAAATGAGTGCACCAGCACTAAGGACTGCATGCCTACTTCCTGAGCAGAAGGCAGGTTTGGGACCTTTCTAACCAGCACCCACTTGGGACCTGGCACAAACAGAGGGGCAGTGACTGCTGGTTAGACAGAAATGAGGGAGACCCTGTGGGCCAATTCATGGCGTGACTCCTGAAGCAGCCCATGAGCCCCTTGCTCACTGTGACTCTGGCCAGGAAGTTCACCTCTCTGGCCCACTTCCACCTCCAGTATACCAGAGGACCTGGACTAAAGCCCAGTTCTGCCTGCAGGTAGCTGGGGGATTTGGGGGAGCTCACTCCACATCTCTAAGCTTTTTCGTTTGTAAAGTGGGATTAGTCATTCCCACATTTGGAGGTCCACCTGCAGCGATGAGAGGCCTGCACAAAGCAGCGGCTCCAGAAATGCGAGGTTTCTTGCTGTGCTTTCCCAACACCCTTCCTCGAAGTAGCATGGTGGAACCCAGCTGGATATGTCTCTTTTTTCTCACGTTCTTCCTGTGTCTGTCCCGCCCTCTCCTTTGAGTCAAAACAAGTGCTCAAGGGCAAACCACTTCCCTTCCAGATTAGAGTTTACACTGGGTAGCCGTAAAAGTAGGCCTAACAGCTGGAAAAGGGGCCAGTGGCTACCAGTGCAGGGACTCCCGCTTCCCCCTGCCTCCAGGACTCCCATTCCTAAGCATCAAACGGCTCCAACACCCGCCAACACCCGCCACGTCCGACACTCCTGGGAGGGGGAGTTACCTCCGGAGACGCCGCCAACGTGGATGCGCGGCCCCTGACGCGACGTGATGACCCGCTCGCTCTTCCAGGTGCCAGCCCCGCGGATCCCTTCCAGCTCCTCCTCCAGGATGCCACGCAGCTGGGCCAGCGCTGAGTGCGCGCGTCGGCCGCGGGGCGCCCGGGAGAGCGCGGCGCCGAGGACACAGGCAGCCCACATCGTGCTCACCTAGACTAGCTCGCGCGAGCGCGCCTGCCGATCCCGGAGCTCTGCGCGTCAGGCCGCGGACTGGTCACGTGACCGGGGGCCGGACCCCGATGGCCAATCGGAGGGAGAGGGGCAGGAAGGCGGGCCCAGGGGCACGTGGGCGGAGCCGGGGGGGGGATGCGCAGAAGAAAAGTGGATTGATTTGTAAGTTGAGGCTGGAGCCGTACGTGAAGGGGGAAGGGAGGCAACGCGGCGGTGCCCAGCCCACCCGACCCCGACTCCCGCCCCCTGCCTATACACCCATCCCGCGGAAGGGGTGCACTGGACCCCCCCAAGGCAGGAGCAGCCTGAGACACGTTCCGTCTCAAGCCCTTAGGTTTCTGTTTCTGTGGAGCTCCTGGAGCCTTCCCCTCTCAGGTGCAAACGCCCCCAGATTTCCCCCCTCTACTCGCCAGCCCAATTGCTTCCCCTTCTCGTCTTAGAAGTGAGGAAAAACTCCGCCCAGGTTTTGTCTTTTTTCAATTTTTATTTTAAAGTTTTAAAATTACAAAGACAGCAAATTCTTCCCGCACAAATAACACTTTTTTTTACAAAAAAAAAAGGGGGGGGGGTACGACGCGCAATTGCGCGTTTTCCTATTTTATGAGAAAAACGACTGTACAGGTTTTTTCTCCCAGCTCCCGGGTGTGAAACGTAAGTGCTAGCTCTAGATAGGTATATACACATTTACACGCACATACACAGACTTAGCTCTGTAAAACTACTTAGCAATTCAAAAATCGACTGCAGTATGTCTTACTGTCCACTCCCCGCCCACTACCCCTCCCCCATCTACCACTACTTAGAAAAGACTCAGAAGTAAAGAGGTCGGGAAGTTTTTCAGTGGCGTTGGCAGGGCTGGAGACTCACCAGACCACCAAAGCCACCTCTTGTACAGGAGGAACCAAAAACCAGGGGAATACAATCCAATTGTGTGGAAAAACCCAAGTTTCAACAGGGCACACTGAGGCACTTGGCTGACTGACTCCCCACCCTTCCCCCAAAGTTTCCACTCCCAGAACAGACTTTCTGAAGCCGTAAAGACCCCCCCCCCCATGGCTAGTTCCCAGCTGAGAGAAGCCACAGCTTCTCAGACCAGCTGTCACTTCCACACCCCCTCCCTTCCCGAGGACAATAGGGAGGCCGCAGGGACAGACTAACAAGTGAAAAGGAAATTGGACTTAGACCCCACAATGCTCACCATTGGGAGGTGGAAGTCAGCTCAGAGAGGGTTTATTCCACCCCCCCTAACTTGGTGTCCAGCTGCTGCCACCCCTCTCCTCCCAACAAGGTTCTGAAACTCACAAGGGCTGCTCAACTTAAAGAAAACTTACTTGTCTTAAAGATGCTCCTTACAATTCCTGGGCTTCCTCTCAACTAGCCAGACAAACTGCTTCCCGATTCCCCCACCCCACCCCCACTTTTACCTTCATAGTGAACAAACCATCCAACTAAATAAAACACACAAACCCACCCCAAACCCTAAGTAGAGTAATAACAAATTAACAGAACAAAATATAAGTACATTCTCATCATTACAGAGATGAGATTGTTTTTAGCTGTCCTTGTACGACTGGTTAAGGAAAAATGGACTATTCCCTAATTTCCGAGGAATCCAAATTCTGTCTCATAAAAGTCAGAATAGAAAGGGGCAAGGGGCTGCAGATGAGGAGTAAGAGAGGAGAAAAGTATTTACAGAAAAATAGGAGACAGGCAGGAGTGTCCACAAGAGCTTCACTGTCACTTCTTCTTGCTGGCCCTCTTGGCACTGGACTTGGCTTTGGGCTTCACTGGTTTGGCCTTCTTAGGCTTGGATGCTTTGACTGGCTTGGCTTTGACAGTCTTGGGTTTTTTGGTTTTCTTGGGCGTGGCAGTCGGCTTCTTCTTGGCCTTCTTGACTGGGGTGGCTTTGGGCTTCTTGCTGGGGGCTTTGGAGGCTGCCTTCTTGGGCTTGGCTGCCTTCTTTGGCGTGGCCACCTTCTTGACTTCCTTCTTCGTCTTCTTAAAGGCCACTGACCGCTTGGGCTCGTCGCTCTTGGCCAGCCGGAAAGACCCCGAGGCACCCACTCCTTTGGTCTGTTTGAGGACCCCAGTGGTAACCAGGCGCTTGATGGACAACTTGATCTGCGAGTCGGCGTTCTCGCCCACCTTGTAGTGGCTCTTGATGTACTTCTGGATGGACTGGCGCGAGGAACCAGCGCGGTTCTTCTCCGCCTGGATGGCAGCCACGATCATGTCTGAGTACTTGGGGTGGTCTGTGGACTTCTTGGAAGCCTTGGCCCGCTTGGGCTTGGCCGCGGGCGCAGACGTGGAGTTCTCGGTCATGGTGGGCTGCCTGGTCCTGCTGCTGGAGAAGGCGCCTTCAGGAGGGCCAGCCCCCGTCGGAGGCCGAGAAAAGCCCGGGTCGGGGTCGCTTTCGCGCCCCTGCCTCTCTGGGACCTGGCTCGGGTCGCGGGAGAGCTCGCTGCGCCGCTCCTGCGTGGCTCAGCCCGCCGGCCGCTCGGTCGCTCGGTCGGTCCCTGCGCGAGGCGTCTGCGGCTCCGGCTGTGCCACCGCCCCCGCGCCTCTCTTTCCCCAGCTCCGCGTCTGGCGCTCGGGCGGCGCATCCGGGTATTTAGCGGCGGCGGGCGGACCGCGGTGAGGACAGGGCTGCTGGCTGCCTGCTCCCGGCCCGGAATGGCGCTGCGCCGCCGCCATCTGTGTTTCTTCCGCCGAGCAAATCCGACCTTTCCCCCCGCCCCGGGCCTCCCCGCTCCCCGCCGCCACCCGGGGTCGCTGCCCGGCTCCCTGGGCTCCCCCGCCAGGCGGCCCGCCTGCCGGGTCGCCGCCCCCCGAGCCCGCAAGGCGCCCCAAACGGCGCTGAGGACCGCCGGTGCGCCGGCACATTTCCCCTTTGCGGGGGGCTGGCTCTGCGGAGCCGGGGCGCCCCGATGCGGGAAACCCCCCGTAGCAAAGCTCCCCCCCTGGGGCTACCGGGGACCCCGCTCCCGGCCCCCTGCGGGGTTCCCCAGTCCGGCGGAGTGGCTGGAAAGCGGCTCCAACTAACACACGCGGCCCCGAGCCGGGCGACTCCCAGCCGGGCCGAGCCGGGACAGGGGGGAGGGGTCGCTCCCCCGGGGTCCAGTCACCTCTCGGGGGTCATCCCGCCACCGGGCCCCCCGCACCTCTACCCCCTCTCTGTCCGTTGGGCCCCTAAGCAAACTTTCCCTGGAAGAGTTGGAAGGGCACTTTCAAACTTTGTCCCTTCCCCCTCCTCTCTCGCCTCTCCCCCAGCGGGCCCCCTGACCTCTGCGGTGCTGGTTCTCTCCCGAGGCCGAACCCCAAATGCTTCCATGGCCCCCTGAGACTATGAGGAGGGGTCTCCCGAGTCGCCTCCTCTCCTCAAAGACCCCCACATTTCCCATATATCTTAACTGAGAATTCATTTATTGCCTCCCTCAGCCTAGGAGTTTTGGGGCGTCAGAGGCAGAGCCCGCTGCCCCCACCCCGAAGGCCCAGCCTAGGGGTCCACACTCTTCCCCCAGGGCCCTCCAAGGTGGGGGGGTCTCGGGGGCGAAAGGACCACGACGGAGGAGCTGCCCCACAGGCTCTAACCAGAGACTGTCGTGGGGGCCCCTGGGATGAGGAAAGGCTGTGTGTGCTTTGGGAGCTTGGAAAACGGGGCTCTGGGGGAGAGGTCGCGGAGGGGGTCGCGTTCCTGGGGTACTAGCTCATCTTCGGCAAGTGTGCGGCCGCTCGGGGAACCGGGGCCGGGACCACCGCCATTTTGCTGGGAGGATGCAATGTCTTTGTTAAAATGTGCACATCTTTTACCGTGCTTGGCAGGTACCGATGAGGCAAGCCGGGGGCGCCACCGTCTCTGGGGAGTCCTGGGGGGCTCGGGGAGGATTCAGGGGCCCCGAGGCCAGCAGAAGGGACCCCAGGACTCCTGGGGCAGAGTATCTTGTTTGCGACAGAGCCTACTCACAGGCAGGGTCCTGCTTGGCAGGGGCCCTGTTTGAGATTCTGGGATGCTCGTTCCCTAAGCCCCCTCCCACGACGAACCCGCTTTTATTCCCTAAGCAGAGGCCTGTCACTCCTCACTCTGGGAGTGGGGGCTGAGGGGTATAGCTGGTCAAAATGATGAACGTGTGTGCGGCATTGCCCAGGAGCTGTTGGCAGACACTGGCTGTGGAGAAGGGAGGGGGAGGCGTTGGAGGGTTCAGATGCGGGACGGGGTCTTAGCTCGGATGCGGGGGAGGGGGAACGGGCTCACACTGGACTTCCGCGGCTCTGGCCAGGGAAATTAACGGGTCCCCCCCACACTCCAAGGGATGGATTGATCCAAATGATTGGGGGAGCGTAGGGGGAGGCCTGAGACTTGGTATCAGTTGCCTTCTCCCCGGGTTATCTCGGTGGCACAGGTGGGGATGGGAAGCGATGAAGGGCCAGGTTGGTTTAGAAGGCTGAGTTCTTTTTTGGTTGATGTCAATTACCCCAAAGTTTCCCGATGTGAAAACACCTCACTCTGGTGGTCTTGTTTGGGCTATTTTCAAAGACAGTTCTGGTTCCCACTAAGATCTGGATGGATAAATAGGTATCCAAATAAAGACACCCCCAGGTCAGAGATGTTCTACCCTGCGCTTTCAGAGACATATCACCCCCCCCCCCCAGGTCTTTGCACCTCTTAGAATAAGGACTGGATGAATCCAATGGCATAATGACGAAATAATTTTATTTACACAGCGCATTACGACGTGCAAAGTGCTCTCCACCCGTTTCTTGCTCCTTTGCGCCTCCAGCCTGGAGAGGTGGACAACGCGATCACTCCCCCATCACCTTATTTCCTCTTGGAGGCCAGGGACTCCTTAAGGGTGGATGGGGGCGCACTGTGAGGTTCAGCTCCCGGCACCCCGAGGTTTTTATTTGATTTTGTAGCTGTCACATCCCGATCCCCGCCCATCCCAACGACCTGTATATTCCCTCCCGGAACTGGAGCCAGAAATGGAGGGGGGGGGGGTCACGGGGGCTTCCCACCGGCGGACAGCCCACCTTCCTCCAGGCGGCCGAATTCAGCGCTCCTACCCCTGTTTGGGGAGAATTGAGGGGAGGGCGCGGAGGGGTTCCCCCAGAGTTAGGCTCGGAGTCCGAGACCGAGGGAGGCAAGGTGAGGAAAAGCTGCACCCAGATTAGTTTGGCTGCACCTCGCCTCTGCTGGGCCTGGGGGCTTCTGGATTCCGGCCGGGCCCCACCCGGACACCGGGAAGGCTGCTCTCGGGTCCCCACCTATCGCAGAGCCGTTTTCTGGCACGCAGACGGCGGCACTCCCTCCGCCCCCTTTAACGCGAGCCCTTTAAAATCCCGGAGCCGCAGAGATGCGGGCAACTCCTCCTGGGAAATGTAGTCTCCCCGCGGGTGCGAGCCCCGCACTGCGCCCCCAGCCCGGACCCTCGCGAGCCTCGGAACTGCTGGCCGCCCTGGCGTGGGGAGAGGGGCAGACGTCGTCCGTCTAGTTGCGCAGAGAGGGGCCCAGGCCTCCCTGCTGTTTTTTCAACCTGTCAAAAAGGGGGCTCGACCTCCCTGTGGGGTTGGGGTGCCGGTGAAATGAAATCCTGAATGAATATGTGTATATCGCATTAGAATGCCAGGAGTCATGTGTTTCTAATGTGCGTGCGCATGTGCCCGGTTTATTGAGCCCTTGATCCGTGACATCTTCATTTCTACGGCAGGAGGTCTAGAATGGCTCAGGGACTTGTCCAAGGTGGGGCAGCCTGGAGGAGGGTGACTGAGGAGGGTGACTGCTGACAGACTCCCAAGCCAGTGACTTTCCCACTGCGCCACCTGTGGTCTCCTGAGACCTGATAAGACAGCGCTTATCCTGGGCTTTGGAACCCTAAGGAGCTCACTTGATATGTGCTAGGCACTGGAATAGGACCTCTTAATGAACCAACCTAAAAATAATCCTTATACCAAAGAGAGGTATGTTGGGGTGACAAATTCTGTTCCCCTCCACTCCTAGCTTACAAGCCTGTACAGCATGCTATGGTACTGAATACTGTAGGCAATTATAACACAATGGTAACTGTTTGTGTAATACTATTTATTACTAGTGTGGGATCACTGTCATATATGCGGTCCTGTCAATGACTGCAATGTTGTTATATCGCTCATGACTGTATTCAGGTTTAAGAGTAGAGAAAATTTTGCCCCACAGCATCCCAGATGAGATCAGAGAGTTATAGCCTCTGCCTTTTACTCTGAAGAGGGGTAGGAAAAGAATAAATTACCCAGCGTATAGTCTCCTGCTGCTGCTGTAACAAATTACCTGGTGACTTGAAACAACCCGTATTTATTATCTTACAGTTCCAGAGGTCAGTTGCCCAAAATGGGTCTCCTTGGGCTAAAATCAAGGAGTCGACAGGTGTGCGTTTCTTCTGGAAGCTCTAGGGCAAGGATCTGTTTTTTGTCTTTTCCAACTTCCAGAGGGAGCCTGCATTCCTTGGCTCGTGGACCCTTTCCACTGTAAAAGCTGTCATGCTGCCCTGGCTGTTTTGGCTCAGCTGTTAGAGCACCAGCCCAAGGACCAAAGAATTGCGGGTTTGATTCTGGTCAGGAGCATGTGCCTCAGTTGTGGTTGGGGCCCTGGCCCTGGTCGGGGTTGTGTGGGGTGCAGCCAATCCATGTGTCTCTCTCACATTGGTCTCTCTCTCTCTCTCTCTCTCTCTCCCTTCCTCCCTCCCATTCTGTCTGAAAATAAATGGAAAAAGTATCCTTGGGTGAGGAAAAAGAAAAAGCTATCATGCTGCCATCTCTCTGGTTCAGACTCTTCTATCTCCCTCTTCCCTCACTGGAAGAATTTCTTTTTTAAGCCTTGTTAAAACAAGCCCACCAAAAATTAGGTTGCCTCCCCAAAACAAAAATGGGAGAGAGAATCATTGAAGGAACTTGGAGATTCCACTGGGCTACCTGGATAATCCAGAATAATCTCCCATCTCAAGGTCAACCGATTAGCAACCTTAATTCCCCCTTGCCAAGTGGCATAACATATCCACAGATTCCAGGGATCAGGACACAGTTATCCTTGCGGAGCCGGTATTCTACCTCCCACACGCAGCTGTCCACGTGCATAACGGGGCAGGGGATGTGAGTGACATCCTTCCACACCCACTGTGGCACCAGGTGAGGCCCAGGTCCCATCCAGGGCTGTTCCCATGTTCTGAGAAATCCCTGGTTGGGCAGAGAGCTGGAGGCATGGTGGGGACACTTTGTAGTCACCTTGCAGTGTTGTGACTAGTAGGGAAGGAGGGGAGATTGTAAAAACCCTTGGGCTCGACTCTATTAGATTCCTTGTGTCCCTAAATGTCCATCGCTTTTCAATGTGAAGAGTCAAAGTGACACCTAGCCAGGTAGGGGTGAGGGGCAGCCCCCAGACAAAGAGTAACCACAAAACCTTGTTGAGAGGAGGGAGCCCTGCCCTCCAGAGCATGGTGGCAATCCCTCTTGAGGGAATACTCTGCTGGCCTCTCCTTCTCCCCCATCCTTCCGTCTCCAGCTCTTGTCCCCTTTCCCTCTGGAGCCGCTATTTTCC